ATAAAGAAAAATAAAATAGAATGCATTCATCAAGAATCATAAGAATAGGATGGGATGGGATAGAATAGAATAGAAATTCAGAATGGAGTGGAGTGGAATGGAATAGAATAGAATAGAATTCTTTATTAGCCAAGTGTGATTAGAATAGAATAGAATAGAATTCTTTATTAGCCAAGTGTGATGGGACACACAAGGAATTTGTCTTTGGTGCATATGCTGTCAGTGTACATAAAAGAAAAGATACATTCGTCACGAATCATAAGGTACAACATTTAATAGTACAAATAAGCAATAATTTAGATGCTCTCTTATTTGGTGTGATACCCTATCTGAACTACCTTGTAAGAAAATTGGCACATGATGTGTGGAAACAGCATGAAGAAAGTACGGTATCTAGCTAATTCTTTAACTATGTTGAGGAAATGATTCTTTTAAAAAAAGCACACCCAAAGACACAGGAAGACTTCTGCAGCCCACCGAATGCAAGCCAGTGAATATTAGGTTAGCCTAACTATTATTCAAATGCAGGCCATGTGCTTTCAGTTCATTGAGCAGGGCATAATGCAAACCCGTTAAATTGGGTCAATGAGGAAAAACAATGCTTCGGTTAATCATGGGTAGTAAGCCTTTCATAAAACCTACAGCCCTACCCCTGGCCTATGCAAATCCTGTCAAAAGAAGAAAGCTCTCGCAGCGGCACTGGCTACTGCCCAAGAGTATTCAGAAATTAGCATGGAGCAGAGAAAGCTTCAGGTCTGTTTTAATGGTGTAATGGAAATGCATTCTGGCTTTCAATCCAGGTGGGCAGATTGCAGTGTTTGATGTTGGAAAGGGTTGGATGGGGTGAAGAGAAGGACGAGGGGAGACAGGATAGCAGGGCTGCCACAGAGAGGAGGGGATCAAGCTATTCTCCAAAGCCCCCCAAAAGCCAAACAAGGAATAATGGATGGAAACTGACCAAGGAGAGATTCAACCTAGAAACAAGGAGGAATTTTCTGACAGTGAGAACAATCAACCAACGGAACAGGAATTGCCTTTGAAAGTTGTGGGAGCTTCACCACTTGAGATTTTCAAGAAGAGACTGGACTGCCATTTGTCAGAAATGGTGTAGGGTCTCCTGCTTGAGCAGGGGGTTGGACTAGATGACCAACAGGTCCCTTCCAACACTGTTAATCTGTCACTCACGGGTTAAAAAAAAAACATCAAGTAGATTCATTCCAGGATTCAAAAGGGCAACCCAAATGACTAGGATAATATAGAAAACAAGGCTAAATTTGTATAAACGAGGACACTTTTTTGTTTCAAAGGGACCCTACATTTCATTTTATTAAAATTATTTTCCGAATGAGAGCCATAGGGTAGGGGAAAGAGAGCCATCCAGATGGTGATGTCACTAGGGTGAATGAAACTGAATGTTTGGGCCTTTTCTTTATTTTTAGCTGTCTATGCAGAAGTTGTAGAAAAGAGGTATATGAAAGAAGCTTAACATGCCTATTTTGTTGCTTCTATTGAAAGTACGTAAGTAAGTAAGTAAGTAAGTAAGTAAGTAAGTAAAGAAAGAAAGAAAGAAAGAGAAAAAAGAAAGAAAGAGAAAAAGAAAGAAAGAGAAAAAGAAAGACAGAAAGAAAGAAAGAGAAAAAGAGACAAAGAAAGAGAAAAAAGAAAGACAGAAAGAAAGAGAAAAAAGAAAGAAAGAGAAAAAAGAAAGACAGAAAGAAAGAAAGAAAGAAAGAAAGAGAAAAAAGAAAGACAGAAAGAAAGAGAAAAAGAGACAGAAAGAAAGAAAAAAGAAAGACAGAAAGAAAGAGAAAAAAGAAAGAAAGAGAAAAAAGAAAGACAGAAAGAAAGAAAGAGAAAAAAGACAGACAGAAAGAAAGACAGAAAGAAAGAAAAGAAAGAAAGAGAAAGAAAAGAAAGAAAGAAAGAAAGAAAGAAAAAGAAAGAAAAGAAAGAAAGAAAACCTTACATCTCCCAAGATTACAATGTTGTCCTTAAATGTCAACATTCTCCTTGAGTTTCAGTACCGAAGCATAAAAATGGGCTGGATGTTAAACTGAAGCTAAATTGGTGCTTGCAGGCAGGCTATTAAAAATGCATGTAAAAAGAATGGGCTTTGACAGATAAACAGAGAGCGAAACCCTACTCCCTTCTGGGCAACTGATGATATTACCTAGTTGGGTAATGAAAGGTCTACAAGAAAACAACCCAGCTCAGAGATCACCGAGGACCCCACAGTCCTTCTACATCCTCCTCTACTCTGGAAACCCCACTCCCTTCTGGCACTGATGATGTTACCTAGTTGGGTAATGAAAGGTCTGCAAGAAAAGCTTAGAAATCACCAAGGACCGTACAGTTCAACCCGGAGCTGCAAATATTCTCTTCTGCTGTGACTTTGATTGCATCGTTGTGGCTGCTTATCTTGCTATATTTTTTAGTCCCCTGTCAGCAGGATAAAATTGGCTAGTTTTCCTTGAGAGAGAAGCCTTGGAATAATGTGAGTTTATCACTGAACCTTGAACAGTTAAAAGACCTCGGGTAAAAAAAAGCTAACAGTTGTCCCAGCAACCCTGCAGGAGATAGAGCACCAAAGGACGCCTCATATGGAAGAATATCACAGTTAAGCAGATAAATAATGGCTTTGCATTAAAGATGAGGGCATTGCCACCTTGGCAGAGCATAGCCCTATATTAAAAAAAAAACCAACAAACTGTTCAGCCAAGTTCAAGAGGCAAAAAGGAACAAGTTGTCCCATAGAAACCTACCCCTGTGTTATAGCCTAACAGCAGGGACATAAACACATCATGATGCTTCCTTGATGCATTCGAATTGCACTATTGCAAGCTAATTCTGCCCCCTGCCAGCAGTTCGATCCTGACCTGCTCAAGGTTGACTCAGCCTTCCATCCTTCCGAGGTCGGTAAAATAAGGACCCAGATTGTTGGGGGCCAATAAGCTGATTCTGTAAACCGCTTAGGGAGGGCTGTAAAGCACTGTGAAGCGGTATATAAGTCTTAAGTGCTGTTGCTATTCCTGCTGCAGGGAGATGGTTTGGGATTCGGTGACTTATTTTCTTTGCCTAAATTCGTGTTTGCAATTCTTCCTTAGTTCCTGCCCTTGTCTGTCCTCTTCCCTGCCCCCCCTGGGGGCAATGTGTCAAGCATTTTGGCACTCTACCAGTGGCGGTCTTATTTTGCTCAGATCCAAATTAATCTGATTCAAATAATAATAATAAAAAGGATTGGGAAGAAGAAGAAGAAGAAGAAGAAGAGGAGGAGGAGGAGGAGGAGGAGGAGGAGGAGGANTACACTGAGAGCATATGCGCCAAAGACAAATTCCTTCTGTGTCCAATCACACTTGGCCAATAAAGAATTCTACGTTCTATGTTCTAATATGTGTGGACTTCAACTCCCAGCGTTCCCCATCTTAAAACTCTCAAAGTTGACAATTAAATGAGTACTAGGAGGTAGATTTTTTTTAGACTCATCGGACAAGATTTTATGGGCTGGATCCGCCATCTTTAAATGAAGCTCATTCATTTCTCCCTTTCTATTTTCATTTCGATTTGTATGGTGGAAGTATGTTTTTATTTATGTTACAGTAAGTCACATGGAATCTCAGGTGGTGCATCAGTTTGAGTAAATAAATCGTGTCCAAATTAAACAGCTGGGAGATTGTTTCCGTATTCTATGAATAGTTTAGAGTTTGGACATTCCATCTTAAGAAGAAGTGATACAAATCTTCCCAGTTTCATGATGGAATCAAAATGTGAACTCCAGTTTTCTCAATGTAGGTTGAATCTTATACCGTTTCCCCGAAAATAAGACCTCCCTGGATAATAAGCTCAATCGGGCTTTTGAGCGCATGCACTAAAATAAGCCCTCCCCTGAAAATAAGCCCTCCCTGAAAATATTGCAACACAGCAGCAGCCGTGAGGTGACTACACTCACCGCCTCCTGACCTCAAAAATAATAAGATCTCCCCGAAAATAAGGCCAAGCATTTATTTCAAGGGTCAAAAGGGTGTTATTTTGGGGGAAACACAGTAAAAAATCAGGAAGTCCTGAAATGCTTGAAGTATCAACTACCATTTTCAACAGTGAGGTCTTCCGATTATTCTCTTTGTTTTTCTACTTTTTCAGCACCTGTGATTCTTTCTGTCTCTCTCGCTCTCTTTCAATATTTAGTATATGGGCTGCATTGAAGTCCTGCAATCAATGAGATCTTTGGATTTTGGCACTCGGACTCAAGTAACCAGGTAAGTTACAACATCTTATTCCAACCTCCTATATTTCTGTACAGGCAGAAATACAGTTTATTTCCTTCTTCTTCTCCCGATTTAAAACATCACATCTTTCTGGCAGCAGGTATATTTTCTTTTTTCTTTTTGTAAAATTATATTCCTTATACATATGCTTTTAATTGTTATATCCTTTCTTGAGGATTTAATTGTTAATGAAAAGTTAGGAGTTCTACATGGGGTTGCCCTTGAAGAGTGTTCGAAGACTCCAATTAGTNACACACACACACACACACACACACACAAACACACACACACCTCCATGTTTCATATATTTTAACCCCTCTTCCATGGGTTCTTCTGTGCTGTCTTGGCATCTGTTAATAGAGTCAATGGAATTCAAGGAGGGCTGGACTTAACTCTCTTGTAGGCTTGAAAGTACTCAAGACTGCTAATGCATTTGACCCCCCCCCTCATTTCGGTCATCTCATACATTTCCACAGAGATACTATTGGCTTGTACTTCCCGCCTCCTACCCCCTGCCCATTTTACTTTGCTCTAAGAAACAGCATTTCTAAACCTCTGGCCTGGCCTTGTAGAGAAGACGAGTGCATAAATGCAAAAGTGTTCCTGTCCCATTGATGATCTCTCTTGGGCATCCAGTGAACTCCTATGACTCAGAGCTTCTTGGACTCATCTGCAGGAAGCCAGAAGATGGCTTTTTAGCTTCTCCCCTGTTGTTTTGCTCGCCTGTGCTGGATGCCAACGTTTAATTATAGCAGTGGAGCTGGAGAGTTGGGAAGGCATAAGGACCGGACACTAGTGTTTTCCTTGGAGACCTTGGCAGCTCTGAGTCTTATCGGAGGGGAAGAAGGAGGGAGGTTAGCTGCTCCATCCACTTCCTTTGTAATTACTCTCCGTGAGTCATGAGGATTGACCTCTATGCAAAAGGACTGGCGGTTGTGTTGAGATCCCAGCTCTCTGACTAAGCAACCAGCCTGCTGAACAACTGTGGGAGTTGTGAATAGTTCCCCCGGAGAGATTTTATGGCCCGCAGAAACTCCACATCCTGTGTCGCTCGCAGTGAATCTAGGGATGCGTTTCTCTTTCTCGAAATCTCGTTTTAGGGAGCAGAATAGAAGTCCCGAAGACTCCCCCAAAAAAGAGTTTAATCCCCTACTGGCCTCTCCCAATTATGAGTCCCATGAAGTTGCAGTTAAAATGCAGGCAGTCCTTGACTTAAAACAGTTCATTGAGTGACCGTTCAAAGTTACAACAGCACTGAAAAGAATGACGTATGATCGTTTTTTTCATACCCTCCTAGGTTGGATCTCTTTTTAATCGTCTTCCACACATTAGTTCTTGCTCTGCCCATCTTTTCTGTGGCAGGCCCTCGAGTGCTGGAAAACAGCTCTCATATCACCCCCTACGTCTTCTTTTGGTTAAACTAGATGTTAATTAATTCCTTAGACTTGAAAGTCATTAGACTAGACGCTCATTTTTTTTTAGAGGGATGTGTGATGGCTCAGTGGTTAAAGACACCGTGCTTGTTGGCTGGAGAACTTGACAGCTCAGTTTCAAGAGCCACACAATGGGGTGAGCTCTTGTTTCTTGCTCCTGCCCACCTAGAAAGCCTGAAACCAGAGGTGGCATTCAGCCAGTTCTGACCGGTTCTGGCAAACCAGTAGTGGAAATTTTGAGTAGTTCAGAGAACTGGCAAATACCACTTCTGGCTGGCCCCGCCCCCACCTGTTCACTGCCTCCAGAGTCCCAGCTGATTGTCTGGGTCTTCTGTTGCCCCGCACAGGAGAATGGAGCTGGAAAGCAAACAGTATCCTTCCCCTGGAGTGGGGAGGGAATGGAGATTTTGCAGTATCCTTCCCCTGGAGTGGGAAGGGAATGGAGATTTTGCAGTATCCTTCCCNTCGCCAGCTGGCATTGTCCAGCTGATGGCACCTGGAGAAGGCCCATCCTGCGCGATCTTATCGGTCTTAGGGAGGTATGCGGCAGAAGACGGTCTCGTAGATATCCGGGTCCTAGGTCATGTAGGGCTATGTGCCAAGTTTGGTTGAAATTGCTCAAGGAGTTCCAGAGTTATGCTGGAACACAAACACACACACACACACAGAGCCATTTTTATGTATATAGATTGCCGGTCCAAAATAGCTTGGGTTAGGTAGGAGGTGAGACAGCTTCTTCTAGGCTACATCTGCACAAAACATAAGCCAAAGCTGACCCCATTGTGTTTAATGTGTTGTGAAGCCAACAACTGTCAGCTATTCAGCAAAACCAGTTTTAAGCAAACATGGACTTCTTGCCTGTGCAATGCCATCTCAAGCGTGCAATGTAAAAGATTCCAGATTAGATTTTAATGTGCAGAATTTGGATTCATGTGGAAATGCAGGAATCCATTCTTACAGCCATTCAGTCTCTGTTTAAACATGCAATAATATTCTTTTTTGTACCAAAAAGACCACAGGCTAAGACTTTTTACCTTTTTGTTTTATTTTAGTATAGCTTGATTATGGTAGGTCGTTCAGGGTTATTGGGAACTCGGCAACATACAGGTTTAATACAGGAAGCTATTACAGGCTTAAAAATTGCAAACCCAATCTATATTTCACCCACCAATTTCGTTGTATTTAAGTACAATGACAATAAAGATTATACTTATACTTATTTCAGCTGATTTTTCTCGGCAAAAACGTATAATAATATAACCCGCCTTGAATTTCTTATGGTTCTGATCTCTAAATATAAAATATTTTTTTTAGCTCGGGGGCAAAATGTTAATTAAATATCATTTCATTTACTTAAAAGCAAATAGGGAATATGATGGGGTTTTTTAATGGACATTATTAATACTTTCTTCTTTCTATCATATTACAAAAAGAATTGTGATTTTAAAAACCCCACATACTGTATATAAACAGTGAGAAATTGCTAGTGGAATTCCCCCTTTAAAAAAAACAAACACCAGCACCAGGTGAGTTGGCCAAATTTATTTATATGCAAACGCTGACTTTCACTTCCTGGTAAAAGAAAGATCTTTGTTGCATAAGTGGTTTTTGTCTCCTTTTCTTGAAAACCACATTTTCCATCCCTTACTGGCGTATTTTACCACTTCCTACTTACTTTGAGCTTTTTCTGTCCTGACCTCCAAAGTCATCCTGCAAGGCTTTTAAAATGGTGTGGATAGTGGTTGATGAAAACATTCAATTATGTGTATTTTTAAAAAAATAGCAATCTTTTTAGGAATGGAAGAAAAGCGGGACGAAGGCTAAAATCTAACCAGGAACCAGCTCATAATGACTGCATTCCCAAATTATTTACTGCTGCATTCTATGCTAATGTAGTTTTTTCTCTATTGTTTTTCTATAGCAATAGCAATTAGATTTATATACCGCTTCATAGTGCTCTACAGCCCTTTCTAAGTGGTTTACAGAGTCAGCCTCTTGCCCCCAACAAGCCTGGAGTCTCATTTTACCAACCTCGGAAGGACGGGAGGCTGAGTCAACCTTGAGCCAGTCATGGTTGAACTGCTGGCAGTGGGCAGAATTAGCTTGCAATACTGCATTCGAACCACTGCTTCACCATGGCTCTTATCGGCTTCATCCTTTGAAGTTGGTGGCTCCATAAACAGGACATCCTAAAACAGCGTGAAAACTCTTAGCATTGCTCGGATAAAAAGCCTCAATTCATCCCATCATTTTACAGATTAAGTGACTATAGCAGTAGCAATAGCAGTTAGACTTATATACCGCTTCATAGGGCTTTCAGC